AGGGAATATATATTTCAAATGCCCCTTAGGGAGAAGCAGTATGATAAGAGTTGTCAGGTATTTTTAGATCTCTACTCCAAATTACTACAGTTTTGGAATAAGCCAAAGAAGATTTTTTGTGGGTTTGTTTTGGTTTGTTTTGTTTTTTATTTTCTGAGAGAAATAACTCTAATTCTGTAGAAGTTCTCACTCTGTAATTTTAAAATGTGAATAACATTGATAATTTTATAATGCTACTTAGATTTCGGACTTGCAGTGGTTTTTATAAATTTTAGGGATAGTATGTGTTCATTTAGCTGTCTGAGATGATAAAGAGCGGGAACTAAATGTGGGTTTTTTCTTCAGATCATAAGAGATCTGTGACTGAATCTCCCCTGCTTTCCACGTTTGTTCTGAGAGCAATACCTTGGTGAACTGTCTTTTTCAGGGCAAGGTGTAAAATTTCAATTTGTCCTTAATTTCTAAGAGTGATAAGGTACTAAAAATGGGAATATATATGAAAACTCAAAGCCTTTCTTGTTAGTCTTACTTTGAACATTTAAAATGGTATGAATTAATGGATCGTGTTTGCAGAGTGTTTTGTTTGGTTCCTTATCTCCATCACCACAGTTGCTACCTTAGATGTGTTTTGAAAGCTCTCGATGCCTTTTCAGGTCTCAGTGGCTCAGGCAAACGCTTCTCCAGCAGTGACTGTGTGCTTTTTTTACTCATTCTAGCTTCTCTCTTTTGACTAGCCGTGTCTTATTCAGGTTTTGCATGTTTATTGAACTGCATTTTGGTTTTGCATACAGAAATGAGAGCAATTTATTGTGGTTTTGCTAAATTAAGTTTTCAATTCTGCCTAATTTGTAAGGGTATCATTGTCTCCTTATCATATTTCTTTGAGTGGACGTGTAGGAGAACTCGGTGGTATGTGAGTGGTGGAAATACAAATAGCTCTTCGTTTTCATTATATGGTTATTGCTGTAATATGTAAGATTTCTGAAAGCTGACGGTAATCTAATGTTTTGATTACAATTTTTGTTTTTAAAGGGCACTATGAGGAGGTGTACGATAACCAGCTTAACTTGGCCTACTGTTTCAGTGACCCTGAGGACAAATGGTTAAGTAATTACTTTTACGAGCAATGCTTTAACACTGCTCAACTAATAAAAATTGATGGTGGGAAAAGAGAGGCACAAGCACATGCAAATATGGGCCTCATCAATGAGGAACAAGGTAAGTCACTGAGATCATAAAGCTACATTGTATCAGCATTAAGTCAGTCATATTTGGCAATTTGTGTTTCATCACAGGGCACAGTATTTCCATGTAAAATTGATTTGTAACCATCATTTAAAAGAAGTTTTAGAACTGTTGCAATTTTATTTTTTTTGGAGCAGCGAATAGGAAGACAAAGAAGTCTATAATTATTCACAGACCTGTTACCTCTGTTGACATTCCATCTACAGTTGAAAGTACTCGGTCAGATGAATATCAAAACACAAGTTTAAAGGAAGCATTTGTTTAGCACAAAGGTTCTTTGGGTTTGACCTTATTTCCTTTTGCTTGTTTTTGACAAAGAGAGTTTCAAAACTACCTTCTGGTTCTTCTGACTGAAAATAACACCCTGGTTTTTGGACGTGACTGCCACATAGGTGTTTGCTTCAGAGTTATACCTTACCACAAGCTCTATTTCTCCATTCATGTACCTATATCCTCAAACTGGGAGTCTCTGAAATTAGAAAAGATATTACTAGAAGTAACTAGAATCATAGAAGAGCCCAGGCTGGAAGGGACCTTGAAAGATCATCTGGCCCAACATTTCATGGGAAAGGGACCCTAGATGAGATTGTTTTAGCACCCTGTCCAATTGCATCTTGAAAACCTCCAGTGATGGGGACTCTACCACATCCCTGGAAAGGCTGTTCCAGTGAATGATTGTTCTCACCATAAAAAATATTACTTTCTTATATCAAGATGAACCTTGTTTCTATATTTTAAAACATGACCTTTCATGGCAGAGGGGTTTTTGTGTGTACAGCAGTCTGGGAATAAAAAAAGGTGTTTTCCTATGTTTGTATAAAATCCTTTCATGTTGTGGGAAGACAAGCAATGAGTGAGCCTCAAGTAACTGAATAAAATCTGTCTTCCAGTTCTAATTCTAAGTGCATTGGATGCCTAACCGTTGCTTCAAATATATGTGGTTTGTACAGTCATTACATTTTTGTGTTTAAGTTTGACTTTGTGGGTTGAAACCATTCCAACTTTGAACTCAGCTTGTGGCTGGTTTCTCAAACAGAATGGCTTTTCTCAGAAAAAAAGAAGATTCACAAAAATTGAAATATTTTGTGGAAATAGTGTAATTCCAGTAAATGTCTGACAGAATGGGTGTGTTTTGAAAGATGGCCTAATTTCCAAGCAAAAACCTGGACATAAAACATCAAACCTACATAAAACCTCTTTTTTTTTTTTTTTAATTGAAAGGTTATTGTCCTGTTTTTTCCCCATGTTCTCTTAAAGCTGAATCATCACACCTTTTTCAATATTTCCTTTCTAGACTGCTGGTCATTCACACTGTCTTCCTCTGTTGCCATATCTTTCTTGCCTGCAACACCCAGAGCTGGATTCAGTTTTAAAATTTGAGTTCATACCAATGATCAATAAAATGGAAGGATTACTTTTCTTACAAGTTGTATTTTTATTTGTGTTTTCAGGTATGACATCTACATTCTTTGTTTCAGCATAAATTGCATACTCATGTTCAGTTCATGATCTTCAGTAATCTCTAAATTCTTTTCTGAAGAACTGTGAAGTAGCTGTTCTGTTCCCCATTCTGGGCTCACCAGTTAGTTCTGCCTAAATGCAATATGTTGCTTTCTTTTGCACTGAGTAGCACCCTGTGTTTTATAGGCGGTTTCTAGAAATTGTCAAGATTGTTTTGAATTCTGAAGTTGTCCTTCAACATGCTTTCTCTTCTTCCTAGTTTGGTATCATTTGAACATTTTTAAAAAGCATTTTTCTATCCTGTAATTTAGATCCTTAATGAAAACACTAAGTAGTAAACTAGACCTAGGACAGGCACCTGTGGAACCTCACCGAGTACCTTCTCCCACACTGACAGGGAACTACCAATAACCAACATCTATATAGGATTTCCTAACCAATTTGCACTCACCTAACAACAGCTGAAGGTGAACTATGCTTCCCTAATGCTTAACAAGAAAGTTATATGAAAGTGAGAAAGAATTTACTAACTTAAATAGAAGATCGGCTTGATGACATTCACTCTTGATGTATTGGCATTGGCCGTAATATTTTCATGTTTTCTCTAAATGCTTGGAAATAATCTGTTTAACTATTTACTTATTCCAGTATTGTTCCGGGAACTGAAGCTAAATCCAGTTTCCCAGTAGATAGCACTTGCTTAAAGCCCAGCCAGTCACAACCAAGTCATTTTCATTTTGAGTGAAAAATGCTTAATTAGGTTATCTGTCTGATACTCAGTAGAGTAAAATGATTGAAGTTGCTGGATTTTTTGCAACCTTTTCACTTGGTCCTTCAGTTACTAAAAAATAGAATTCTAAGAAGGTGCATAAAACCAAACATCCCTATCTATTTGTAGCAGTCTGTATGAGCCTCAAAAAAATTTAACATTTTCTACTTTCATGATGTGTTAAGCGAAAGTTGTTGAATACTTAAATATCTTTAAGCCCATTACAAAAACACATAAGTAAAGTTATGAAATACACTTCGAGATGCTCAGAGGAGGGGAAATTTCATTCTCCTGCTGTAAAATATTAGAAACTTTCAGAAGAGAGGCTTCTTATTAACATTGGGAAGGATAAAGCAAGGTGCATTTTCACTGCCCGTGGTAAAGCTCCACTGAATCTGTAGGATCTGTCTTTTGCAAATATTTTATTTCCATAGAGAGAGGTGAAAAAATGAAGAAGCTGAGAGAGTAAGCATAGGATTTGCTTTGAGGGACCACTGAGAAAAAGACAGCAGATGTATTCCATGCACTTTTTATTTTCAGCGGGTGAAAAATGAAATCGTAAGTTCTGATTGCAGAAAAAGTGTAAGAGCAGATGTTGAGTTGGTATTGTATAAAACTGCCTGAGTATTAATGGTGTTATAAGTAAAATTGTAAACATGCTATTTTTGATATTAGAACAGATAGATACAGCTTGTAAATTAAACGGTCTTTTTTGTTCAGTTATTTATAATGCTGTAATTTCATTTGTGTGTGAACTGAATGAGTCAGATGCCCACTTCCTGTGGGGATATACACATATATACAGGAATAGATACCCATGTATAGACATGTATGTGTGCATTAATATATACATATAGGAATATGTATGTGTACCTATATAAATACAGGAATGTGTGTAGGTACATGAATGATGCCTAACACTTACATGATACTTTCATCTGACTTCAATCATCATATCTATATTAACTGCATTGATTAATAGGGCAGCCAGGAAGATAGAAGAATTTATAAGAATGAGAAGTTAGTCTTACAGACGTTCATGTGTGCATCCTTTTAAATATCCTGTACCAGTGCTTTTCAGTTCTCTCACCCAACAGTGTATTTTTTATTACTTGTGCACAGAAGCTGTCTATATATGCTTAGGACTGATTGCTTGGGACTACGAAGTTAAACATGTACTTGTAAAGATTGTTGTTTGCCTTGGAAGCAAATCAATAAATTTGCTGGGTATTTTTTGTGTAATCAAATTTAAAGTTCTTTGACTTTCAGCCTGGTCCCCGTCCTAAAGGATGGATATAATCTGATGTTCATTAATCTTCAAAGCTAAATATTTGAGGTGTCGGCAGTGTAGACTTCAGTCATGATATTTGGATGCAGGCGATTGGTGGCTGGCAGTACATAGTGGCTGACAGTACATAAGGGAAAGAAAACAATAATAATTGAGTAGCCTGCTACAGACGTAAGTGGAACATTCTGCTGGGAGCAAACATGATTTTAGTCAGAATTCTTTGAAGAATGAGATTTGAACCTCTTCCTTTAAAAACTCTGTTTGTAAAATACAGTCTCTGTTTACAAGTTACCCAAATGAGATGCTACTCATTGATTATTGTAGGAGTGTTCAGGTTATGATCCTGTTCAATTAGCTGTACTCACCCCATAGTTGGTCTTTCCTCAGGGGGCTGATGATAAATTGTTTTATTAGTTTGGTTACTAGTCATTTTCTCATTTATCTACTAAACGTGCCGATGTCATTTTATACACATTGAAAAAGCAATGTCAAAATTTAATTTTTCTTCCTCACATTAAATCCAGTATTACTTGTCATCCAAGTCAGCACAGGCTTTATGACAGAATCTCAGTTAAGAAAAATTAATTTTAAAAAATTTTTTACTTCTAAAAACACACTCAAAGCATAGGAATAATATCAGTCATTATAAATGTGTGCATTTTTCTGCATATCAGAGAATAAGAAGACTATCACAGTCTGTGATAGTTCTATTATATTGGTGTGAATTGTACTAAAGATAATTGTGAACTTCAGGTTTACACTGTATCTTGCAGAAGAAATGCAGTCTGAGTGTACTGATAGACACAATGGCTAGTGCTAGTTTGTATAGGTTCTTACACTGCTAGTCCTCGTCATTACAATATTTGAGTGCTTTCTGTTTTGTATTAAATGGCTAACATCTCTCATGCATGAAATGATGTAGGCCTTTAAATATATGCATCCCAAAGTTTCAGATAACTTATCAGTAACAAAAGCAGTCCAGGAGGGGAAACAAGGAATTTGTATGCGTAGGAGCTATATGCTTCAAATAGGTTATAACAAAATTAGATATGATATATTTCTATATTATCGAAAAGCATAATAAAAACAGATATCTGAAAGTGTACTTGTTTTAAAAGCAGCCATTAAGGCCATTGCAGGTAATACAGGTGTTTGTATAAATATGTGTGTATATAGATGCGTATGTATGTACATGCATATATACATACACATTGATATACAGAAACATATGCACATATACGTACGCGCACATTCGAATGCAGCCAGTGTTTTAAAGCCAGTACTTCAGATACCAACATTTCAATCTTAATGTCGAGCAATTCTGCATTTGTGGGGAAAGCTTCAAGGTGACCAATTAACATATCTGGTGGTGCTTCTCTAATAGAGATGCACGACAGTTCTCTTCTTAAGGCACACTTTTACAAAAAGATAGGTTAGTGGTACATTGTGTGGGGG